CTGGTGACTCCTCTGTTTTTACTAATGATATTTCCTTTGTCTCACACTCCCTCACCTTTCCCGCTGGGCCTCCAAGTTCCATCTCCAGTGTCCCCACTGAGGCCCCCATGTAGAATCAAGCATGTCACTCTCCCTGCCACAGAGTCCCCAGGACTTTGTTTATAACTGTTTATTCTATGCTCTTCATAACCTTGCCACAGCCTGACATATCAAACAACCTCAGCTTCTTCAGGGTCAATCAATGTCTTTCACATCTCGGGAATAACAAAGCCTAGCGAGACCTAAACAGTAAAGGCATTATAGATGTACACCATGCATTTTTAATGTGTTTATTTGCTTGTTTTGCATTCTGAGTATGTGTGGAATTTTAAGTTCAAACAAGCCAGCAAAGTGTTAACATGGAGTGCAATTGAAGCTGATCAAATACGCAGATATCCATAAGAAAGGATAATAATAAATGAAGATGTTTTCATTGGATGTGTAGTTTCTGTACAGGACTCAACTCTTTGGCTGCTGGATAAATTCTAGTCTCTCTGGGAAGATTGTCAAGAAATACTTGCACACTTTAAGCCGAAATGCAAAGTTGAAAATACAGAGAGCTGCAGGTGCCAATTTTGCTTTGTTTCTACTAAAAATAAATCTTGGCCTTGTGGGTAAAGTCAGAATTGACCTGTAAACAGAAGTAATTGGTGTATCTATTAATAATTTTAATTTTACTATGACTATATCATACATAAAAAAGTAAATATACAGTTGACCCATAAACAACACATTGGTTGGGGCATTGACCTCCTCCACGATCCTGGCACTGCAGAAAATTTGTTGCATAACTTTTGACTCCCCAAAATCTTAACTACTAATAGCCTACTATTGACCTGAAGTCTTACCAATAACATAAAGAGTGGATTAACTCATATTTTGTATGTTATACGTATTATACACCATATCTTTACCATAAAGCAAGCTAGAGAAAATGTTATTAAGAAAATCACAAGGAAGAGAAAATATATTTACTATTCATCAAGTGAGAGTGGATCATCATAAAGGTCTTGATCCTCAGTGTTTTCCTATGGAATAGGCTGAGGAGGTGGAAGAGAAGGCGTTGGTCGTGCTGTCTCCGGGGTGGCAGAGGTGAAACTAAATCCACATACAAGGGGACCAATGCAGTTCAAATCTACGTTATTCAAGGGTTAACTATATATATACATAAATATATGCACATAGAAATATGCTATTTATATATACAGTCATGCACAACATAATGATATCTTGGTCAGTAACAGGCCATATATACAGTGGTGGTCCCCAAGATTAAAATAGAGTATTTTTACTGTACCTTTTCTGTATTTAAATATATCTAGATACACAAATACTTCCCTATAGTACTCAGTGTAACGACCTGCTGTACAGGTTTGTAATCTGGGAGCAATAGGCTATTTCATATAGCCTAGGTGTGTAGGTAGCCTCTATCATCTAGGTTTGTGAAAGATGCTCTGTGATATTGGCACAAGGACAAAGGCACCTAAGGACACATTTCTCAGATAGCATCCCTGTCACTAAGCAACACATGATTGTATTTAGGTATATTAATGGTTTCAAAATTAAAAATAAAATCAATTGTACCTGCAACTCAAATTTAGAGTATTCACCTTTACCTCTGAAGTCCCCAGTATACTTCTCCTGACTGTGCCTTGTTTCTTCCCAGAAGTAACTGGTGATCTGTATTTTTACGATATCTTCAGTATTTCCATATTGCATATCTGAAAACATAGAAAAGCAGCAGTCTCCATTTTAAACCTATGTAAAATCTGACTGTTGGTGTTCTTCATGACATGAATTTTTTTCTCAAAATTAAAGTTTTGAAAATCATCAGTTTATGTATATGTCTGCAATTGATTCATTTATTTTACCATTTTACAGTGAAATTGTACAGATATACCATAATTCATTAGTCCAGTTAGTTCTAATAACATTGGACGGTTTCTAATTTTTTACATAATGTGGGAGTTTATGTTCAGATGCACATGGACAAGGTCTTCTTCAGGGTCTCAGTTTAGAAGTATATTTTCCCATATATTTGATAATACTTGATTTCATCAAACTTTAACGTTTTTACCAGTGCGATAGGTGTAAAATGTCACTTGTGGTGTTTCTCTCAAATAAATTTTGTTATTATGTGTGTATTAGAAATTAGAAAATATAGAAAAGCGTCAACATATTAAGATAACACATTCACAACACCCAGAAAGTAACACTTTTAATATTTCAGTATCCATACTTCTAGATCTTTTTAACCAAAGTGAGATCGTACCCCATGAACTGTTCGTAATCTGTTTTTAAAATTAACAAGTTTGAACTTTTGATGTCAGTATATTTACATCTTTTCTCATTTTCATATTTTTGAATAGGCCTCTGTGTTCTTTACAGCTAGTTTGCTTGAATTGTTTACTGATCCAGGACTATGCAGTATAATCCATCTTTACATTCTTAACTCTCTTGTATTCTTGTGCAGTCACTTTTTATTATATTGGCTTGCATAAGACATTTATAAGCTATCCCATTTTTGTGGATTTCTCTAGTTGCTTCTTCATGGTGTCATTATGCCTCTATATCTAATACCTGTGAATTAAAGTTATGTGAAAGCTTAATGAATTCAAGTTCAGCATTTTTTTTTGGCTAGCACACACTACAGGTATATTCATATCACTTGCAGCCAGAGGGAAAGATATTTGGTTGTATCGTAATTAATGATGTCAAAACTGATCATTTTATTGAGATGAAAACAATCAGATCATTTAAGTATACAAGCATATCTCAGAGATATTAGGGGTTGGAGTTGGATTTCACTGCCATAATAAAGTGAATACTGCAGTAAAGGGAGTCACACAAAATTTTTTGCTGGCCCGTCCATAAAAAAGTTATGTTTACACTATACAACAGTCTATTAAGTGTGTACGAGTATTGCATCTCAGGAAAATGTACATACCTTAATTGAAAATTCTTTGATGCTAAAGAAAGTACCTGAGCCTTCAGTGAGCAGTAATCATTTTGCCGGTGGAGGGTTTTGCTTTGATGTTGACGGCTATTTACTGATCAGCATGGAGATTGCTGTAGGTTGGGGTGGCTGTGGAAATTTCCTTTTTTTTTTTTTTTTGAGATAGTCTCACTCTGTTGCCCAAGCTGGAGTGCAGTGGCAGTCTCGGCTCACTACTGTGGACATTTCTAAAAGTAAAACAACAATGAAGTTTGCCACATCAATAGGCTCTTCCTTTTGTGAAATATTTCTCTGTAGCCCTAATGCTGTTTATAGCATTTTACCCACAAAGAACTACTTTCCAAATTGGAGTCAGTCCTTTCAAAGCCTGCCACTAATTTATCAAATAAGTGTGTGTAATAGTCTGAATACACTTCAACAAATGTTCATAGTATCTTCAACAGGAGTAGATCCCATCTCAAAAAACCACTTTTTGTCTTGATCCATAAGAAGCAACTCCTTATCCTCGTTTACTCAAGTTTTATAATGAGATTGCAGCAATATATTCACAGCTTCAGGCTCCACTTCCAATTCTGTTTATTTTTTTCCTATTCCCATAGCATCTGAGGTTATTTCCTCCACTAAAGTCTTCAATGCCTCAAAGTTATTCATAAGAGTTGAAATCAACTTCGTTCAAATTCTTGTTAATGCTGATATGTGGACCTCCTCCCATAAATCACAAGTGTTTTTATTGGTATCTAGAACTGCAAATTATTTCCTGAAAGTTTTTCTTTTTTTCCCCCCAGATTTATCAGAAGAATCACTATCTGTGACAGCTACACCCATACAAAGTGTATTTCTTAAATACTAAAACTTCAAAGTTGAAATGATCCATTGATCCATTGGCTACAGAATGTATGTCATTTTAGCAGGCATGAAAAAACATTAATCTCCTTTTACGTCTTTGTCAGAGATCTTGGGTGACCAGGAGCATTGTCAGAGAGTGGTAATATTTTGAAAGAATTTTTTATTTTGTCTGAGTAGTAGGTCTCAACAGGGGACTTAAAATATTCAGCAAATTATGCTGTAAGCAGATGCACTGTTACCCAGGCTTTGTTGTTCCATTTATAGGGCTCAAGCAAAGCAGATTTACCATAATTTTAAGGGTAATGGGATTTTCAGAATGGTAAGTGAGCATTGGCTTTAGGTTAAAATCACTAACTGTATTATCCCCTTAAAAGTGAGTCAGCCTGGCTTTTGAAGCTTGCAAGCCAGACATCGACTTCTCTCTAGCTGTGAGAATCCTAGATGGCATCTTCTTCTAGCAGAAGGCTGTTTCATCTACATTGAAAATTTGTCATTCAGTGTAGCCACCTTCTTCAGTGATCTTACCTAGATCTTCCAGAAAACTTACTGCAGCTTCTATTCATATATAAGCATTTGTTGCTTCATCTTGAGACTTTTTTGTTATGGAGATGGCTTCTTTCCTTTTACCTCATGAACCAACCTCTGCTAGCGTCAAACTTTTTTCCTGTAGCTTCCTCACTTCTCTCAACCCTCATTGAATTAAAGAGTGTTAGAGTTAAGCTTTGGCTTAAGGAAATGTAGATGGTTTGATCACCTACCCAGACCCCTAAAACTTTCTTCGTATTAGCAATAAGGATGTTTTTTCTTTCTTATCACTCGTGTGTTTACTGGAGTAATAGTTTTAATTTCCTTCATGAACTTTTCCTTCACATTTACAACTTGGCTGTTTGGTGCAAGAGGCTGAGCTTTGGGCCAGTCTAGTCTTTTGGCATGCCTTCCTCACTGAGTTTAATTATTTTCAGCTTTTGACTTGAGGTGAAAGACTTGAGACTCTTTCACTTGGACACTCAGAGGCCATTAAAGGGTTATTAATTGGTTCATTTTCAATATTGTGTTTCAGTGAATAGGAAGGCCCAGAGTAGAAGGAGACAGTGGGAATGGCTGGTCACTGGGGAAGTCAGAACCCACACGTTTATCAACTAAGTTCTTTCTTTTATAGGTGCAGTGTGTGATGCCCTTGGCAAATACAATAGCAACCTCAAAGATCACTGATCACAGATCACCATACCAGATATAATGATAATGAAAAAGTTTGAAATACTGTGAAAATTGTAAAATGTGACACAGAGACAGGAAGTGAGCAGATGGTGTTGGAAAAATGGCACTGGTAGGTTTGCTTGATGCAGGATTGTCACAAACTTTTAATTTGTAATTTGTTTAGTTTTGCACAGCTAAACAAAGAACAATAAAATGGGGTATGCCTGTAGAGTTATGAATTTTTCTTTGCACTGAAAAATAATTGGTGTGGTGTTACGTTGGCATCAATAATTCAACTAGTGATTTTAATCTCTATATTCCTTGTCTGAATTAATCTCACTATGCTTTTAATTTCAATGTGCCTATCCCACTTACAAAAGGTGTGAAACTATTTATGCATTTATTGGCTACTTAATCTTCCTTTCCTGTAACATACCTATTAACTGAATTTTGATCATTTTTCTATTGAGCTATTTGTATTTTTTAACTGATTTGTAAAATGTCTCTATATATTTTTGACACTAGTCATTTGCCATTCATATGCGTTACAGATACTTTGAGGTTGAAGATGGATTTTTGCAAACTTTAAGTTGCTTTGGGATTAAAATAATTCTTTTGAATTTAAATATAATCAATTTAAAACATTTTTATTTACAGTTGTTATTTTGTGTGTGGTTTACATGTAGTCCTCTCTTCAAGAATACAAAGATGTTTTTCTGTTTTATTCTATATTTTTAGTTGCCATTTACGTTTAAGCCTTTAAGCCATGTGGAATTTACTTCTGTGTATCTTATGGGAGTGGAATTCTATTTAATTTTTATACTGATTATCAGTTTTCTCAGCTTCATTTATTGAATAATCTATACATCCTCTAATATCTACAATATTAAGTTTGTCTTGCAGAAAATATCCTTATATTCCTGGATCTAATTTTTTTTTAACTGTATGTTACTTTGTTTTCTCTATAGTATTTGTATTATTATAACTTTTTGATAAGTTGTTCTCTGGCAAGACAATTTTTCTCATGTAGTTTTTTCGTTTGTTTGTTTGTTTTTTTAAGATGGAGTCTCACTCTGTTGTCCAGGCTGGAGCAGTGGTGCAATAGCGGCTCACTGCAACCTCTGCCTCCCAAGTTCAAATGATTCTCCTGCTTCAACCTCCTGAGTAGCTGGTATTACAGGTGCCCACCACCATGCCCAGCTAATTTTTGCATTTTTAGTTGAGACAGGATTTCATCACGTTGGTCAGGCTGGTCTTGAACTCCTGACCTCAAGTGATCTGCCCTCCTCGGCCTCCCAAAATGTTGGGATTACAGGCATTAACTACCACACCTGGCCCCATTTAGGTTTCCATCCAGATAGTGTTGGCTATTCTTGGGCTTTTTTTTGTTTAGAAATTTTAGATCAAGTTTTTAGGTTCTAGGAAAAATCTTGTTCAATGTGTGTTGTCTAAAGTTTTGAATTTTCTATTTATCCACTATCCTATCAGATAATTCAAAAGTTGACTCAACAAATTATGGGACGAAATTTTGCTGATTGACACTTGAATTGAAAATTATATGCTTGCAGAAAAAACAAAAACAAAAACCTCATCCTGAAGGAGATTCCACCATAGAGATGAGGATCTGGACATTTCCTGGAAGCCGATGATCCCTTCTGCAGTTTTGCTGAGGATGAGCAAAAGGGAACACAATGGAGAATTAAATAAAACAAAACAAAATGAAACAAAGACCCACCCCCCCATTTCCTAGAATTGTTCTATACTCATGGTAACCAAGAGCTAGCAGAACTCATTTTAAACTGGTCTAATTAACCAATAAGAGTTCTATAGTCTTCATAACAAGCAAATGTCAAGATTTTTTTTAAGCCTACACAATCTCTCCAGTGGCAGGTTGCCCTAGTGAAGACATCTCTGGAAGCCAGCCAATCAGTGGCAGCCTCATCATAGTATGAAAGTCAGTAATGGATACGTGACTCAGCCCAGTGACATCAACCCTGTCCTGGCCTCTATACCCAACACAAAACGTGCCGCTAAAGCTGTAGTTAATCCACTCCCACTTCTTTAAACAAAAATCAACTTTCTCCAACTGATGTCTACAACCTCCTGCCTCAGTAACCAACACCACTCAAGACAAAATATTTCCTAAGATCTGCAGTTTGCTTTACATTGGAAAGACGTGACTGCCCAGCATAGCGATACTTCATTTAAGTAAGCAATGAATTCATATGCATTGCTTCATATTTTCAAGGGAAAATATTATTCTTGACAATCGTATCTTCTTAGAAAATGGCTCGTATGGTAGATCAAAGGACAGGAAGACAAGGGATTTGAAAGAGGAGCCACATAGATGTATCTACATAAATGGGTACAAAGCATGCAGAATTATTGTGTTTTACATTATCAGTGTTCACAAGTGTGTCCACAAAGAGTTTCAGGAAGGTTAAATAACTTACCCAGGATTTAGTGAGTAGAAACTCTGGGATTCAAACTTAACCTTCTTGATTACAACAATTGCATCTGCTTCATCACTTCTTGTATTCCTATTAGCTCAATATCATATTAACAGCCAGTCACTTAACAAGCTGTCTCTTAACAACCAGTATTTACGATTCATCCTTTATAATTCTTGGCTGGTCAAATGTTTCTCCAGTGGGTCTATGAATGGCTAAGACTGAGATTTTGCATGAACCAAACAGCACAGATTCCCACTCATCAAGGCTAATCAAGCTATTGCCATTGTTGAAAGCCCAGTATTTCTTCTGAATTCTCAACGTGAGAGCTCATAAAGACCAGGAGACTACTTGGTGGGGGTTGATTTTATTGAATCCCATTTATCCAGTGGAGCAAGTGATTCATCCTTCTCAGATATAAAATACGTCAATCACATTTACAGGAACAGGGACCATGGCTTGTTACATTAACCCTCTCATGCTGTATCTATTGTAAACCGACATGGAACCACTTTGAACAGTCTCTGTCAGATTGAATAATGCAGGCCAGGAGCAAAGAAGTAGAAAATATGGGATATCTTTGGTGACCCACCCAAGTCTTTTGGCTTGACTTTTTGTCTAGCTATTGTTACAATAACCAGCTCTGCACAGGTGCGGCATGGCAGCACTTTGCCTCAGCTGCTATCTCTAGCTTTCTGAGATGTGTAGGGAGAGGCCTGTACCCATGAATGAATAGCCTGGAAGTGTACGGGCGTTAATGACACAGAGCCATGTGCACCAGTGAGGGAGGGAAGGGTTGGGAAATGGTTGCTTTCACTCTCCCGCTGCCTCATTCCTTTTCTCTGAAATCACTCCACAAAATTTACCAGCTGGAAGCAAGCCTTGTCTCAGTTCTGCTTTCCAGTGAAGTTCAGGCAAGACATTATCTACTATTACTCCAGTAGACAAATGAGAAATGTGAGCATTTGAAAGATTAAATAATTTGTTTAAAGCCTCAAAGGCAGTAAATAGTGTGGACAGGATTTAAGTGCATGCCTGTTTGACTGCTGTTTTCAGCAGCATCTTTAAGATGTCATGATTATTATAAAACATTGCCTTGGAACAAATGACTTACCATTTTTTGAGTGCTGCAGTTTGAAAACTTTCTGTTATTCTATGAAAAGGAAATAATTTAAATAAATCTTAAATTTGAAATTTAATTACACCATCATAAAAGGTTCTGAATATAATATTGACCTAATAAAAATATAAGAAGTGATGAAGCAGATGCAATTGTTGTAATCAAGAAGATTAAGTTTGAATCCCAGAGTTTCTACTCACTAAATCCTGGGTCAGTTATTTAACTTTCTTGAAACTCTTTGTAGAAAAATGTGCATAATAATTTACCTGAAGAATTTATAAAAGGTGTATTAGTTTAAAAAGACATACAGCATTTATCTCATTGCCTGGAATAAAATAAGTAGGCAACAGCCCTATAAATGTTGGTACTTTACAAGACGTTAAGCACAAACCTACAACAATATAAAATGCTAGCCAGAATTGAAGAAAAGACAGAAAATTCAATGGTATAAAGCAGTAATTTGTTTGTTGTATGAATAATGAAATAGACATTGTGGAGAGATGGTCCTGGGAACTGAGGCTGGACTGTGTCTCGACTGTGAAAATGTCTTTGGAATTCCTTAAGAGTCTAATGTTGCTCTATTTCCTGTGGACCTCATTCTAGTTACTGGACTTCCTAGGGTAGGAGACCTCCGGGTACAATGCAACCCCAAGCTTCTTGGATAGGAATTATATCTAAAAAATAACCAGAGAGAATATCTGAAAGAGAGAGAGGAAGAGAGAGGAAAGAAAGAAAGAAAAGAAAGAAAGAAAGAAAGAAAGAAGGAAGGAAGAAAGGAAGGAAGGAAGGAAAAGAAAAGAGAGGTGGGGGAGAGAGGGAGGGAGGCAGAAAGAAAGAAGAAGAAAGGAAAGAAGAGAATGAAAGAAAAAATAAAGAAAGAGATAGAAAGAAAAAGAAAGGAAGGAAGAGAACGAAAGAAAAAATAAAGAGATGAAAGAAAGAAAGAAGAAAGAAAGAGAGAGGGGAAGGAAGGAAGGAAGGAAAGGAGAGAAGAAAAAGAATAAAGGAAGCAAAGAAGGACTGGGAGAGGGAAGGAGGGAGGAAGAGGAGGGAGGGAGGAAGGAAGGAAAGAAGAAGGATAAACGGTAGGAGGGGGAGAAACGGTAGAAGGAGAAATTAAGGGAGGAAGAAAGAACTCCAAGGAGAAAGGAATACCTAAGAAGTGAAGTCCCCCAGAAGACCACTTCACATGAACTGAACACTTTTAACAGTTTTGCTCCTCACACGAAAACTCTTTGGTCTGTGGTTCGGTTTTATCTTTGGCTCCAGTTCTCAACCATGACAAGGTGTCCTCTCTGATGTCAGCCAGGAGAAAGACTCTTCAGTTCCTGTTGAAGTTGAATTTTGTAACCATAAGAGGATGTAGGCCAGAAAGCAGTCATGTAGCCGACTCTGGTGCCACTAAATTGAAGGAGTTTATTTTGGGTGGGTAGGTACACAAATTTTCTATAAAGAGAATATATACATATAACTTCAGGGAAAAAATCTTCATTAAATAAATTAAATGGTAAAATAAATACAGTCTACAATGCATCAAATATCTATGTGTCTTATTGTCTGAAAAGAAGGCTACTGAGCATAATAGAACCATATAGAATTACCAGTAGCTTCCAGCTGCAGATGTGTTAGCTGGCATATTCATAGCTAAGAGCTACAAGTCCAGCTAACTTGCACTGAGCACTTACTCTGTGCTAGAAACCTTACATATGTTGTTTCTTTCGGTTCACACAAAACTCTATGACGGGAACCACTATCCCCATTGTACAGATGAGTTAAACTGAGGTTAGGAGAAGATTTTAAAGAACCCCACCAAGCTCACAGTTTGGAAAGGAAGAAAATTGGGATTTCAACACAAAATGATCTCAGTTCTTTTCAGTAACATTGATTCTGCAGCCAGTTTCATAGCACCGGGGAGCCCAGTGAATCAACGGGAGAGGGGGATTCTTGGCCAAACAGGAGCACAGAGATGGGCCAGGGTGGAGATCGGGAGCAGGTCAAGCTTGTGAACGAGACTCAGATGAAGGCAGCTGAGGGAAATCAGGGCTCTGAGGAGAGCCAGAAGCAGGATCTCAGTCCACTCTGAAATGCGGGAACGAGGAGCAAGGGCGGCCTCTGCTCCTGAACACAGAAAGCCTATCCATGCCCAGAGCTTGGCCGCTCTGGCCGAAGTCACCTGCAGCTTCTGCAGTCTTTTGTTTGCCTCCTGTGCTCCCAGCTTCATGAAGCAGAGAGAAGGGACTTAGTTACGTGGTAACATAGGCAGGGAAAAAAATACACGTATGTTTTTATAGTATTACAAAGGCGCACAGTTACAGTAAAGCAGGCGTGATACGGATAAAATCCTGAG